GCAAGGCCAGAGGGGCGGATCCGCCCTGCCCGCCGGCAGAGATCCCGATCCCGGCCCCAGCCCCGATCCCGGCCCCGATCCCGGCCCCGATCCCGGCCCCGATCCTGACCCCGATCCTTGCCCCGATCCCGGTCCCGGTCCCCGTCCGCGCTGCAGCCCGACAGCAGCGCAGCCGCCTGGGCCGGACCGTCAGCAAGTCTGTACTGTGAGGGTGGGGAGGCCCTGGCACGGGGTACCCGGAGAAACTGCGGCTGCCGCATCCCTGGAAGTGTCCAAGTCCCAGTCTAGTGTCCAACCCCGGTCTAGTGGAAGGTGTCCCTGCCCATGGTAGCGGCATGGAACAACATGAGCTTTAAGGTCTCCTCCAACACAAGCCATTCTGTGATTTATCACTCCCGATTTTTATTGGGGACTGGAAAATGCTTGCACTCAAACTCGAGCCAAGTCCAGAGCCGCGTGGCGCTGGGTACACTGTGCATATCCCAGGAACTACAGAAAATCCAGGGTTCTCCAGCCCTTCACTGCCTGTACCGCTGATTATAAACACATAAACAGCTTCACACCGGCAGAGGGCAGGGTTACATTGGCAGTGACCCTGAACTGAAATGCCGCGAGAAGGCTCGGGCAGCAGATTCTCCTTTAGCCAAAGCATCTTCTCCCAGGGAAAGACCCAGCGAGGGCTCAGCTTGTCCCGGTGTCATCCGCCACCTGCCGCTAGCAACAGGTCCCAGTGCTTGTTGCCATGGCACCTGCCCCCGGCAACGGGTCCCAGGGAGCCACCACGCAGGCAGGAACAGGCAGGGTGTCCCTGGGGACACAGGCCTGCCTCAGCCCTTGGCACTCAACTGCCCTCAGAATGTCTCCAGACCCCACTTTGCTCTCGTGTCTCCTCGGGACATCCCAAGGAGCCCCAAGTTCAGACAGCCCTGCGTGCCCCCAGGACATCCCTTTCCTGTCCCCACACTGCAGAGTCTGGCCTCTGAGCCCTTCAGTCACATTAAATGCATAACGTTTGCTCAAGCTTAACAGAAACGGTGGCTTTTGTCGCCTCTTCTCTTTCTCCCACTGACCAGCAAGAGCTTTGCCCCACTCAACAGCTCTTCCAGCACCGGGCTGCTCAGGAGCCCTCCCAAGGCCCTCGCCGCACCCCAGGCCCCTGCGCGGCACCCTGAGCTGCCCCAGGGGTGGCTGAGTGGCCCTGCCAGGCTGGCGGAGTCCTGGGGGGGCTTAGGGCTGAAGGGGGGAGGATGGCACCCAGGGGGATCCAGCTGGAAGGGCTGGGATCCTCAGCGTGCCGGGAGCTGTCGTCTTCTGGCACAGCCCAGCTGAGCAACCGCATTGGTCCATCTGAGGGGCCAGGAGCTGTAGTCCTGCTGTTCTTGCCTCAGTTCTGTGTCTCTTCTACAAAATCAGACCAAAGAAGCCCCCAGAAGCCCAAAGGGCCCTGGAACAGCCCCTCTCTGACAGCCCCAGAGGTGCCCTGGAGCTGCTGCCCAGTGTGACCTCGCTCAGGCACCTTCCGAGCCCCGCTCTGCCCTGGGGGGCTGGTGTGGGCGTCCGCGCTGCCCGGGGACAGCCAGTGGGGACAACTGGCAGTCCAGGAAAGACGTGGGCAAGGCTATCTTGGCAAAGAGTCCCCCCACTTTGAATTTCCATCCCATCCCCTCAGGACTTGTTCATTTTCCCTTTCCTCTAGGCCCTCCAGGCCTAGAGCTCTCCTCAGACCCACAAGTCCTCTCTGAACCCTCTCTTGTGCTGGGGCTGCCTCAGCCTGGTCCATTTGCCCCCTCAGCACCCTAAGGCACCTTTTGATGTGCTCCAGAGGCCACAGTTTGTCCCCTTGGTGCCCACAGTACCCCTCCATCCCCCTCCTCGCACCCTCCCTTGGCCCTCGATGGACACAAAAGCCCACGGTTTGCTCTTCTGCAGCCAGGAGAGGCCTCTTGGCCACAGTCCCACCACAGGACTCCTCCACCTGCCCTGCAGCTGTCTTCAGGCCAGATCACACAATCACAGAACCATTTAGGTTGGCAAAGACCTGCAAGATCATCGAGTCCCAACTTGCACCCATCCCCACCTTGTCCACTAGAGCAGAGCACTGAGGGAGTGCCACATCCAGTCTTGTCTTGGATACCTCCAGGAATGGGGATTTCACCACCTCTCCGGGCAGCCCCTTCCAATGCCTGACAACCATTTCCATCAAGAAAAGCTTCCTCATGATCTCACACAAAGCCTCCTGAGGCCTTCAGTGCCCCCCAGGCCCCCCAGCAGAAACCACCCTGCCAGGGCTTTCCATGCCACAAGTGTAAAACAGAGCTCTTCACTCATTTCCAGCTTCAAGCTCTGGAGCCCCAGCAATTCCCAGGAGCTCTGGGATCCTCTGCAGCCCACTCAGGGCTGAGCGTTCCTTCATGATTCCATCCTTCTATGCCTAGGGGGTCCACCGGAGACCCTTTGAGGCCGCACAGCTGCAATGCAGGGCTCAGTGGGGCGTGTTGGGGTACCGGAGATGGAATTTGGAGCCCACCAAGGAAACGTGGGACTCTGCAGCTATAATTCAAGGGCTTGCTGCTGTGCCACCTCCTGGGGTGCTGAGCCTGGGAGGACACAGGGGTCACAGAGTCGGGCACTGTGTGGGGACACAGGGATAACTTTGGCTACCCAGGCTGGAGAAGAGAAGGTTTTGGAGTGACCTTCCAGCCCCTTCCAGTGCCTAAAAGAGGCTCCAAGGGAGCTGGAGACGGATTTTGGACGAGGGCCTGGAGTGACAGGACAAGGGGGAATAGCTTCACACTGGCAAAGGGCAGGGTGACATTGGCAGTGGCCCTGAAATGGGGCGAGAACACTCGGGCAGCAGCTTGTCCTTTAGCCAAGGCGGCTTCTCCCAGGGAAAGCCCCAGCCAGGGTTCAGCTTGTCCCACAAGCCTGGGGCCAGGGGTGCTGAGGGGGGAGCGTCCCGCTGCCTGCGGGACAGCCCAGGAAGGACACGGTCGGCTCGGCACGCTCAGCACCGCACAGCTGAAGGACACCAGGGCTTTGGGCACATTGTTCCAGCTTTATTCAGCCCCAGTCCTTTAGCCAAGGCAAGCTGCACCTCTGCCGGGCTCACGGCCAGCAGCAGCGCAGTGCTCGTAGGAGGCCTCTTGGTCTTTGCTGCACGCAAGGACTCCTCAGAATGGAGGTTGTCCGAGCTGCCAGGGAGCTGACAGAGATGTCCCAGTCTTTCTCCAAGGGCTGAAGTGCTGTGGCGGAAAGAAACAGAGCCCAGATAAAACCCCACATCTGCAGAGAGCCTCTGGATTCCCGACAGACGGTGCTCCCCACTCACCGCTCAGGATGTCAGCCTGACTCTCCGTGGTCTGCTCCCTCAGGCGCCGTGTGATGAGTCCTGGGCACAGAGCTCCATTAGCCCCTGCTCCCCAGCCTGCTCCCAACAGCAGGGCCCCCAGTCCTACCCTCCTCCCCCTCAGCAGGGCTGAGCCCAGGAGCCCCCAGAAGCTCAGGGCAGTGGGACTGAGCAAGGCGGCCACCAAGCCCCGCTGCGTGGGCAGGGCTGGCAGAGGGAGGCAAGGCCCTGCGCGGGGTGGCCGGGCATTGCTGGGGCAGCAGCGGCACAGGGGCCAGGCTGCCCCAGAGGCACCGCAGGGGCTGGCACTCACCGATGAACCTGACGGCCGCCAGGCGCACGTTGGCCTGAGGGTCCTGCAGGTAGGGCAGGCTCTGGTGGATAAAGTCTTCAGCCCTGCTCCTGCTGTTCTGAAGCTGCAGAGAGAACAAGGCATGTCTCTCCAGGGCTGTCACTGGGGCAGTTGGCTGGAGCAGTGCCTCCTGCCAGCACCTCCTGGGACGGAGAGGCCTCCCCTCCTGCTGGCTACAGGGAGGGGACAGGGGCCTGCAGAAGAGCCCCTGGGGCTCTGTTCTTGAGGGCAGCAACAGGGATGCAGCTCCAGGCTCTGCCCAGCTGCAGAGCCCCCAGCCCAGACCTGGGATGGGAGCAGCCCTCCCCCAGTCCGGGCTCCACAGCTTGTCCTTACCAAGCACGCTCCAAGCTCCCACAGCCGCTCTCTCTGCAGCAGGTGCTTGAGCGTCTTCCACTTCAGCAGCTCGGCGGCAGCAAGAAGGGCTTCCCTGGAGGCCTGCAGGACAGCATGAGCTCAGGGATGGCCCGGGGGCCTGGGCAAGGAGGCCTCTTGGCTCTGTTCCTGGGGGGGTCCTGCCTTCAGGAATCTGGGACGTGCCCTAGCCCAAATGTCTGGGAGGCTTTTGGAGACAGCCCTGGGGGACAGGCATGGAGGCTCAAAGGCCTGGCCTCTGACACAGCCTGTGGGGATGCCCCTGTTCAGGCCGTGGTGGCCACGGGCTGCTGCCGAGCCCTGCAGGAGCAGGCAGGGCAGGTGTTGCACAGGGCCGTGCCAGCTTCTCCGGCCCTGCTGGCGCTGGCTCCGCACGGACCTTCCCACGGGCTGTGCTGGGGGAGCGCTGCCCGCTGCCAGCAGCCCCTGCCCCGATGCCCAGGAGCCCTGGGGGCGTCAGCCCAGCCCTCTGTGTGTCAGGGCTCAGCCTTCAAACCTGTACCTTGGCCACGCTGGGGACCTGGTCGCTCATGCGAAAGAGGAGAGGCACCAGTGCTCGCCACACCTCCTTCCTCATCCTCTTCTCATCCCTGCCGACCACGAACTGCAGCAGCTCTGCGAGCATGCGGATGGACAGCTCTCGCAGCTCGCTGCACTCCTGGCAGGAAGCAGGAAAAGTGAGCTTTGCAAACAGCAGCTCCCTGCCCACAGTGAAGAGGGCCCTGATCATGGCTGCGGGGAGGGCAGCGGCTCCGGCCTCACATCCCAGAAGCAGCAGCACTGGGCTGCACGGCCCAAAAGCCATCCCAGGAGAGCCCAGGGGAGCAGAGCTGGCTCCAAGTGCTGCTCGCAGGGCTGGGCTGCAGGGCAGCTGTCATTGCCCAGTGCCCATCTGAGGGGCTCAGGCTCCACATCAGCCTTACCGAGTCAAAGAGGGGCAGGAGCCTCCCCACAAGCTGCACAGCGATGAAGCTGGCCTTGCTCTTCTTCAGCTGATGCAGCACATTTCACAAGGCCAGCAGGATCTTCACCTGGGCGTCTTCGCTGCCAACTTGCAGGATCTTTATCATGCCCGGCAGGAAGAGTTCAATATTTCTGGCCTGTAGAGAGAAGAGAATGTCCATTGGGTGAAGAGTGCTGTGCCGGAAAAGCTCCCCAGGCAGCCACTCCAGGCCCCACCATGGCAGGGAGGGTGTTTAGAGCAGTCACCCCACGTTCTGAGTCCCAGGCCAGGCCAAGTCACTGCTTTCCACACAGCCCCAGCCCCCGTTTGCCGACAGGGCTGCCCCTGACACCGCCCTGCTCACCATCTCGGCTCTCTGCGACAGCCCGACGAGCCCTTCCAGCAGCAGCCCGGCCGTCCTCACGTTTGGACAGCCCTGATGGCTCTCGACGTCGGGCTCGTCAGCCAACTCCTCCGACTCAGCCTTCCTGGAGGATGACTGCAGGAGCAAACAGAGCCGTGAGGGGCCGGCAGAGCCTGCAGGGCTGGCGGGAGGGGACCAGGGCCTTTAGTGGTCACTCACAGCCATGGGCTGGGTGCGGGGGCCTTCTGCGGAGCAGCGGAAGCACTGTGTGCACAGCAGGTTGGCAAAGTCCTCCAAGATCTTGGCCAGTGTCTCCGGCATGGAGGACATCAGCTCCCACAGCTCCGGCGCAGTGCTGGATGGCAGAGAAGGCAGAGCGCTGTCCGCAGGGTTGCCTCAGCCACAGTGCTGTGGCCTGGAGCAGCCCCCCAGAACCTACCCCTTGGAGCCCTGGCCGCGCGTCCCCGGGGGCCCTGCCCGCGCAGGCAGGATGGGGCTGAGGGCGTGTTCCCCGTGGGGCTGGAGCACCGTGCTGGCTCTGGGCTGGCTGGGCCAGCTTTGGCCGCTGTGAAGCAGGGCTGGAAAGCGTGGGGGGATGGAGGGCCTGACTCTGCAGGCTGTCCCGCAGCATTCCTTGACTCTGGCAGCCGGAGAGTCTTGGGGTCCCTCTCCCCACAGGGAACAAGCCCACCCTCAAGGCCATCAGGGCCAGTACCTGTCTCCTTGAAGAGCCGCCTTGCACAGGAGGATGACCACTGTGGTGGGGTACAGGTTGGTCATCAGGCGAAGGAGTGACTCCGCTCTCTCCCACGCTGCCTGTGTGCTGCAGTATGGCAGGCTCTCAAGGATGCTGCTGACTATCTTGGGCCCCTGCAGGAAATACAGGTGAGGATGGCACTGCCCCGGGAGTGCAGCCATGTCCTTAGTTGCCCTTCCCATTCCTCTCTGCTACCTTGAGGTGGCTTGGGGGGCCCAAGTCACCTGTGCCTGGGAGGGAGGGATGCAGGGAGGAACAAGGCCCAAGAGGGCTGAAGGGCACAGGCCACTTACGTCCGTCAGCCAGACGTCCGGGTCCTCCAAGGCCACATCCAGCAGGCTGCTGGGCACCTGCTGGTCGAGGATGCTGGCATCTCCCAACGCCTCGATGGCCACGAGGATGACGTCTGTCCTCTCGTGGGACTGCAGGTATTTTCCAAAGGCCTATGGCAGCAAGGAAGGAAGACATGTCGCGCTGAGCGCCCTGATGGTGCTGCTTGGCTGAGCAGCTCGAGCGGCCCTGGCCGGACGTGCCCACCACTGCTGACAGCAGCGCCCGCAGCAAAGCTGGCAGCAGTGCCTGCAGTCCCTGCATGGCAAAGATGAGCAGAGAGGGCCCTCCTGCTGGGGGAGGAGGGCTCATAGGCACAGGCTGCTGGCCCCACCGAGAACCAGGGACTTGCTGGTGGCCAGGAGCACCGGAGCTCCTGCTGGGGCTGAAGCTGCTGCTGGGCCACTGGAATGCAGCCCTCGTGCTGTCCTTGCTCAAGGACGGCGGGAACCCCCTCCCCAGGGAGCTGAAGGCGCGCCAGCCCCACTGCTGCGGGGTCCTTTGGCTCGCACCAGTGCCCTGCTGGTGCCACGGACAGGAGTCCCAGCAAGGGCGCAGCTCCTTACCTTGGCACAGTCCCTGGGGCTCAGAGAACACAGTGCGGAGGTGGTCACGGCTTCCCGGTGGACTTGGTCTGCTCTGTCCTTTAGCCTGGATTCGACTAAACACCAGGGCAAACACACAAGAGTCAGGAAGGCAGAGCAGCTTTACCAGCAAGCTCGCCAAACCTCCCTGGCATCTGTCGGCCAGGGGGCAGGACAGGAGCAGTCCAGGATTTTGGGAGGGCATCAGGAACAGCTTCTTGCTACAGGCACTGGAGGGACCAGCCAGGGTGGGGGATCTGCTCTTCCCCACCAGGGAAGACGTGGCTTTGGGACAGGGAAGTCCAGAGGGGCTTTGGCTGTGGGGCCCACAAACCAGCGGGCTGCAAGATCCTGAAAGGAAGGGGAGGAAGGAGAGCAGCAGCAAACAGATCCTGGCCTTGAGCAAAGCGCTCAGGCCCTGCAGCAAAGTGGCAGCTGGGAAGCTCTGGGAAGCAGCTGGGAGGGGCAAAGGGGGTCAGGAAGCAGATCTCTCAGGAGATGTCGGTGTGCAGAGCAATGAAGGCCACCGCTGCTCTGCCTTTTTTACTTACAGATGAACTCAGCCAGGGCAAAAAGAGCATGGAAAGCTGCATAGCATGTCAGCTCCTCAGAGAAGCGGAAAAGGATGAGTCGTCCCAGCAGCTTTCCTAGGAGCGGGAGCTGGATCTCCCCAGAGCAGACAGGTCCAGCAGTGCCTCTTCTGATGTTGGCGTGGGCCTGGATGAGGGAGGCATGAGCAGAAGGGCTGAGGGCACAAGGGTGGTGCCAAAGCCCCCCTCTCGAGAGTCTGCCCAGGGCTGGATTCCTGGAGAGACCAGGCTTTGCAGAGCCCTGCGTCCCCGTCTCTCAGAGTAGCCATGTGGGCAGCAGCCCTGGCCTGGAGAGCAGCAGGGATGGGGGCATGGCCTGGCTGGAGGGGGCCTGATCCTTACCTGCAGAGTGGAATAGTCGGACAGCACACAGGTCAGCACATCTATCCTTGCCATGGCCCTCTCCCTCACAGCCTCTCTCTCGCATCTGGTGAAGTCCAGCAGCAGCTGGGACGAGAGAAGCAGCGGGTGAGCCCTGGGAGCAGACTCCAACACCAGCAGCAGCACAGCTCCACTGCTGGGCCGCACTCGCCCCATCCCTCAAGGCTTCCTCTCCCCTCCAGCAAAGCCTGCAATGGGGTGTCTGCCCCAGGTCAGGCACAAAGGCCCAGAGCCAACCTCATGGCCAAGGAGGAGGGCAGGTGCCACCCTCTGCAGCCCCTGTGCTCCACGAGAGCCTGGGGCCAGCCCCCGCTTCCCCGCAGGAGGTGGGCACCCTCCCAGCAGGGCACTCTGCCTGCTCGGCCCTGCTCTGGGCACCACTCAGCCAGGAGTGGGCAAACCCTCCCCTCCAGGCTGAGGAACAGCCCTGGGACTCCCCCCTTTTTGCTTGTGCCAGACCTCCAAGATGCCCTGCAGCTCCTCGCTGACTTGAGAGGCAGGAAAGCTGAGCACCATTGTCCTCAGCATGCTGTCCATGGAGTTCAGGGTCTGCAAGGAACACAGAGAGCAATGGCAGTCATTCTGCTGTTCCTCCCAGCCCCAGGAGAGCCATCCGAACCCCCCGTGCCACAGGAGGAGGAGGAGGATGCCCACACGTCCCGGGAGAGATATGGGCATAGACAATCTGCGAGGGCAGAGCAGCCTGTGGCACGGGATGCGGCCAGGCCCATGGGAAGGGGACAGAGGCGCGAGGAGGGGAAGTACCCTGCCCTGCCTGGGATCCCTGCTCCTGTGGCAACATGGGATAGCCAGGGAGCAGGCCAGAGGGGCTGGAGGCCCCTGGAGCTCAGCCAGCACTTACCTTGATGTAGAGGGCAAGGTCCGCTTTTGGCATTTCCTTCTCTGCAGGCAGCCAGAAGACACTCGAGAAACACGCGCGGAGGAGGCTTTTGGCTTTGCCCTCCAGCGCTGTGTCCACCAAGCTGCAGGGAGAGGGCAGGACACGGGTTGCACACGGGTGCTGGGAGCAGCCCCTCGACGACTCGTGCGGGTGGCATCGGACCTCTGGGCCAGGGGGCCCACGACAGATGGGCAGGTACCTCAATTTCTCCAGAGCCAGCATGGAAAGATGCCGAAGGTCTGTGCACAGCTGGTCCCTTGGCTCTTCTTCCAGCAGCGCCTGCAGAGCACAACCGGGATGGCACCTGCTGGCAACTGCCAGCACCCAGGGCCTCCAGTCCCTGACCCGCCCCAGCACTGTCCGCACAGGTTGCCTGTGCCAGGGGGCTTTGCTCCCTTCGCCACATTGCCCAGGGTGCCCTCACCTTGATGTTCTCTGCCAGCTCGTACTTGTCACAAAACAGATCCAGGCCCTGGGTCAGGCCGTGGCTCAAGGCGCTTCTGCACAGCACAGAGATGCTCCGGAGAAATGTGGTCTTGTCTCTCTCCTCCTGCCAGCCGGGGGACAGAGACACAAACACGGATTGTGAGTGGGCGGACACAGCCAGCGGGACCGCAGCACAGGGGGTGCAGTGCCCTGCGGGAGAAGCAGCCCTGCCCTGCCAGCACCCCTCCAGCAGCCCGGCAGCACAGCCCCTGCCAGCAGACAGCAGCACAGCCCCCCTCCAGTTGGCCGCAGTTACCTTGTTGGGGCTGGTGACAAAGGCCAGGACGGAATCAACAGCTTCCTGCTCCTCCTTGTAGATGGGCAACCAGCTGGCATCTAAGGGGGGAAAGAGCAGGGAGAGCTGCAGAGGGTCCAGCGAGAGGAGGGAGCAAAGGATATCTGCCCTCCACCCAGCTCTCTGCCCACTGCCTTGGCACGGCCTTCCCTTGCAGCTCCTGGCTGGAGGGTGCCTGGCAGAGGAGCTGCCATGCTCGGGAAAGCCCCAGTGCCCCGGGCTGAGGAAGGCAATGGCAGACAGGCAGGAAAGGCCCAGGCTCCCACAGCACGACAGACTCATGCCAGCCCAGCTGGCCCTCTCTGCCCACAGCCCAGAGCCTCTCTGCCCTGTCCTTCTTTGGGAGAGGCTGTGCTGGGGCCACGCTCCAGCCCTGAGCAGTCCCAGCTTTCAGGCAACATCATGGCTGACCCCAGGACCCCCACTGTCAGCTGGCCAGGAAAGTGGGATCCTGGTGTGCTACAGGGTGTGGTGGTGGGCCCCAGCCCTGCCCAGCCCCACAAGGCCCCTCACTCACCCAGCTTCAGGGGCTGCATGGCGGTCACCTCGTAGGAGGACGGAAGCTGCAGGCCTGGAGAGCGGCTCTCCTGGGAAGAGCTGTCTTCCATCCAGGCCTGCCTGGGGCAGGCGGGGGGTCTCCTCTCCATCCTGTGAATCAAAGAACACAGGGGAGCCTGCCTGCGGAGGGCGTCCGAATGGTGGAGTCGAACACCCCCAGAAAAAATGCCGCGGCCAAATCGCCTCAGGCAAAGGGCCTCAGGCAAAAGGCCTCAGCAAAAGGCCTCAGCCAAAAAGCCAAGGCAAAGTGCCTCGGCCAAAAGGCCAAGGCAAAAGGCTTCAGCCAAAAGGCCTCGGCAAAGCGCCTCAGCCCAAAGGCCGAGGCAAAAGGCCTCAGCCCAAAGGCCTCAGCAAAGTGCCTCAGCCCAAAGGCCAAGGCAAAGCACCTCAGCCCAAAGGCCGAGGCAAAGCACCTCAGCCCAAAGGCCGAGGCAAAGCACCTCAGGCAAAGCGCCTCGGCCAAAAGGCCTCGGCCCAAATGCCTCAGGCAAAAACGCTTTGGCAAAACGCCTCAGCAAAACTCCGCGTTCCCACGGGGCCACCTGGGGTCGTGGACAAGACGTGGACTGCAGTCGGGGGCTTCTCGCCAGCGCTGCACTCCTCTCCTGTCCGGTCGCTGTCCTGACGGACACTGACCCACCGTGGGCCACGGTCGTGCTGAGCACACCTGCTGCAGTGGGTGTCACAAAGGGCCCCTCTGTGACCCGCTACCGGCCGCTAGCAACAGGTCCCAGTGCTTGTTGCCATGGCACCTGCCCCCGGCAACGGGTCCCAGGGAGCCACCACGCAGGCAGGAACAGGCAGGGTGTCCCTGGGGACACAGGCCTGCCTCAGCCCTTGGCACTCAGCTGCCCTCAGAATGTCTCCAGACCCCACTTTGCTCTCGTGTCTCCTCGGGACATCCCAAGGAGCCCCACGTTCAGACACCCCTGCGTGCCCCCAGGACATCCCTTTCCTGTCCCCACACTGCAGAGTCTGGCCTCTGAGCCCTTCAGTCACATTAAATGCATAACGTTTGCTCAAGCTTAACAGAAACGGTGGCTTTTGTCGCCTCTTCTCTTTCTCCCACTGACCAGCAAGAGCTTTGCCCCACTCAACAGCTCTTCCAGCACCGGGCTGCTCAGGAGCCCTCCCAAGGCCCTCGCCGCACCCCAGGCCCCTGCGCGGCACCCTGAGCTGCCCCAGGGGTGGCTGAGTGGCCCTGCCAGGCTGGCGGAGTCCTGGGGGGGCTTAGGGCTGAAGGGGGGAGGATGGCACCCAGGGGGATCCAGCTGGAAGGGCTGGGATCCTCAGCGTGCCGGGAGCTGTCGTCTTCTGGCACAGCCCAGCTGAGCAACCGCATTGGTCCATCTGAGGGGCCAGGAGCTGTAGTCCTGCTGTTCTTGCCTCAGTTCTGTGTCTCTTCTACAAAATCAGACCAAAGAAGCCCCCAGAAGCCCAAAGGGCCCTGGAACAGCCCCTCTCTGACAGCCCCAGAGGTGCCCTGGAGCTGCTGCCCAGTGTGACCTCGCTCAGGCACCTTCCGAGCCCCGCTCTGCCCTGGGGGGCTGGTGTGGGCGTCCGCGCTGCCCGGGGACAGCCAGTGGGGACAACTGGCAGTCCAGGAAAGACGTGGGCAAGGCTATCTTGGCAAAGAGTCCCCCCACTTTGAATTTCCATCCCATCCCCTCAGGACTTGTTCATTTTCCCTTTCCTCTAGGCCCTCCAGGCCTAGAGCTCTCCTCAGACCCACAAGTCCTCTCTGAACCCTCTCTTGTGCTGGGGCTGCCTCAGCCTGGTCCATTTGCCCCCTCAGCACCCTAAGGCACCTTTTGATGTGCTCCAGAGGCCACAGTTTGTCCCCTTGGTGCCCACAGTACCCCTCCATCCCCCTCCTCGCACCCTCCCTTGGCCCTCGATGGACACAAAAGCCCACGGTTTGCTCTTCTGCAGCCAGGAGAGGCCTCTTGGCCACAGTCCCACCACAGGACTCCTCCACCTGCCCTGCAGCTGTCTTCAGGCCAGATCACACAATCACAGAACCATTTAGGTTGGCAAAGACCTGCAAGATCATCGAGTCCCAACTTGCACCCATCCCCACCTTGTCCACTAGAGCAGAGCACTGAGGGAGTGCCACATCCAGTCTTGTCTTGGATACCTCCAGGAATGGGGATTTCACCACCTCTCCGGGCAGCCCCTTCCAATGCCTGACAACCATTTCCATCAAGAAAAGCTTCCTCATGATCTCACACAAAGCCTCCTGAGGCCTTCAGTGCCCCCCAGGCCCCCCAGCAGAAACCACCCTGCCAGGGCTTTCCATGCCACAAGTGTAAAACAGAGCTCTTCACTCATTTCCAGCTTCAAGCTCTGGAGCCCCAGCAATTCCCAGGAGCTCTGGGATCCTCTGCAGCCCACTCAGGGCTGAGCGTTCCTTCATGATTCCATCCTTCTATGCCTAGGGGGTCCACCGGAGACCCTTTGAGGCCGCACAGCTGCAATGCAGGGCTCAGTGGGGCGTGTTGGGGTACCGGAGATGGAATTTGGAGCCCACCAAGGAAACGTGGGACTCTGCAGCTATAATTCAAGGGCTTGCTGCTGTGCCACCTCCTGGGGTGCTGAGCCTGGGAGGACACAGGGGTCACAGAGTCGGGCACTGTGTGGGGACACAGGGATAACTTTGGCTACCCAGGCTGGAGAAGAGAAGGTTTTGGAGTGACCTTCCAGCCCCTTCCAGTGCCTAAAAGAGGCTCCAAGGGAGCTGGAGACGGATTTTGGACGAGGGCCTGGAGTGACAGGACAAGGGGGAATAGCTTCACACTGGCAAAGGGCAGGGTGACATTGGCAGTGGCCCTGAAATGGGGCGAGAACACTCGGGCAGCAGCTTGTCCTTTAGCCAAGGCGGCTTCTCCCAGGGAAAGCCCCAGCCAGGGCTCAGCTTGTCCCACAAGCCTGGGGCCAGGGGTGCTGAGGGGGGAACGTCCCGCTGCCTGCGGGACAGCCCAGGAAGGACACGGTCGGCTCGGCACGCTCAGCACCGCGCAGCTGAAGGACACCAGGGCTTTGGGCACGTTGTTCCAGCTTTATTCAGCCCCAGTCCTTTAGCCAAGGCAAGCTGCACCTCTGCCGGGCTCACGGCCAGCAGCAGCGCAGTGCTCGTAGGAGGCCTCTTGGTCTTTGCTGCACGCAAGGACTCCTCAGAATGGAGGTTGTCCGAGCTGCCAGGGAGCTGACAGAGATGTCCCAGTCTTTCTCCAAGGGCTGAAGTGCTGTGGCGGAAAGAAACAGAGCCCAGATAAAACCCCACATCTGCAGAGAGCCTCTGGATTCCCGACAGACGGTGCTCCCCACTCACCGCTCAGGATGTCAGCCTGACTCTCCGTGGTCTGCTCCCTCAGGCGCCGTGTGATGAGTCCTGGGCACAGAGCTCCATTAGCCCCTGCTCCCCAGCCTGCTCCCAACAGCAGGGCCCCCAGTCCTACCCTCCTCCCCCTCAGCAGGGCTGAGCCCAGGAGCCCCCAGAAGCTCAGGGCAGTGGGACTGAGCAAGGCGGCCACCAAGCCCCGCTGCGTGGGCAGGGCTGGCAGAGGGAGGCAAGGCCCTGCGCGGGGTGGCCGGGCATTGCTGGGGCAGCAGCGGCACAGGGGCCAGGCTGCCCCAGAGGCACCGCAGGGGCTGGCACTCACCGATGAACCTGACGGCCGCCAGGCGCACGTTGGCCTGAGGGTCCTGCAGGTAGGGCAGGCTCTGGTGGATGAAGTCTTCAGCCCTGCTCCTGCTGTTCTGAAGCTGCAGAGAGAACAAGGCATGTCTCTCCAGGGCTGTCACTGGGGCAGTTGGCTGGAGCAGTGCCTCCTGCCAGCACCTCCTGGGACGGAGAGGCCTCCCCTCCTGCTGGCTACAGGGAGGGGACAGGGGCCTGCAGAAGAGCCCCTGGGGCTCTGTTCTTGAGGGCAGCAACAGGGATGCAGCTCCAGGCTCTGCCCAGCTGCAGAGCCCCCAGCCCAGACCTGGGATGGGAGCAGCCCTCCCCCAGTCCGGGCTCCACAGCTTGTCCTTACCAAGCACGCTCCAAGCTCCCACAGCCGCTCTCTCTGCAGCAGGTGCTTGAGCGTCTTCCACTTCAGCAGCTCGGCGGCAGCAAGAAGGGCTTCCCTGGAGGCCTGCAGGACAGCATGAGCTCAGGGATGGCCCGGGGGCCTGGGCAAGGAGGCCTCTTGGCTCTGTTCCTGGGGGGGTCCTGCCTTCAGGAATCTGGGACGTGCCCTAGCCCAAATGTCTGGGAGGCTTTTGGAGACAGCCCTGGGGGACAGGCATGGAGGCTCAAAGGCCTGGCCTCTGACACAGCCTGTGGGGATGCCCCTGTTCAGGCCGTGGTGGCCACGGGCTGCTGCCGAGCCCTGCAGGAGCAGGCAGGGCAGGTGTTGCACAGGGCCGTGCCAGCTTCTCCGGCCCTGCTGGCGCTGGCTCCGCACGGACCTTCCCACGGGCTGTGCTGGGGGAGCGCTGCCCGCTGCCAGCAGCCCCTGCCCCGATGCCCAGGAGCCCTGGGGGCGTCAGCCCAGCCCTCTGTGTGTCAGGGCTCAGCCTTCAAACCTGTACCTTGGCCACGCTGGGGACCTGGTCGCTCATGCGAAAGAGGAGAGGCACCAGTGCTCGCCACACCTCCTTCCTCATCCTCTTCTCATCCCTGCCGACCACGAACTGCAGCAGCTCTGCGAGCATGCGGATGGACAGCTCTCGCAGCTCGCTGCACTCCTGGCAGGAAGCAGGAAAAGTGAGCTTTGCAAACAGCAGCTCCCTGCCCACAGTGAAGAGGGCCCTGATCATGGCTGCGGGGAGGGCAGCGGCTCCGGCCTCACATCCCAGAAGCAGCAGCACTGGGCTGCACGGCCCAAAAGCCATCCCAGGAGAGCCCAGGGGAGCAGAGCTGGCTCCAAGTGCTGCTCGCAGGGCTGGGCTGCAGGGCAGCTGTCATTGCCCAGTGCCCATCTGAGGGGCTCAGGCTCCACATCAGCCTTACCGAGTCAAAGAGGGGCAGGAGCCTCCCCACAAGCTGCACAGCGATGAAGCTGGCCTTGCTCTTCTTCAGCTGATGCAGCACATTTCACAAGGCCAGCAGGATCTTCACCTGGGCGTCTTCGCTGCCAACTTGCAGGATCTTTATCATGCCCGGCAGGAAGAGTTCAATATTTCTGGCCTGTAGAGAGAAGAGAATGTCCATTGGGTGAAGAGTGCTGTGCCGGAAAAGCTCCCCAGGCAGCCACTCCAGGCCCCACCATGGCAGGGAGGGTGTTTAGAGCAGTCACCCCACGTTCTGAGTCCCAGGCCAGGCCAAGTCACTGCTTTCCACACAGCCCCAGCCCCCGTTTGCCGACAGGGCTGCCCCTGACACCGCCCTGCTCACCATCTCGGCTCTCTGCGACAGCCCGACGAGCCCTTCCAGCAGCAGCCCGGCCGTCCTCACGTTTGGACAGCCCTGATGGCTCTCGACGTCGGGCTCGTCAGCCAACTCCTCCGACTCAGCCTTCCTGGAGGATGACTGCAGGAGCAAACAGAGCCGTGAGGGGCCGGCAGAGCCTGCAGGGCTGGCGGGAGGGGACCAGGGCCTTTAGTGGTCACTCACAGCCATGGGCTGGGTGCGGGGGCCTTCTGCGGAGCAGCGGAAGCACTGTGTGCACAGCAGGTTGGCAAAGTCCTCCAAGATCTTGGCCAGTGTCTCTGGCATGGAGGACATCAGCTCCCACAGCTCCGGCGCAGTGCTGGAAGGCAGAGAAGGCAGAGCGCTGTCCGCAGGGTTGCCTCAGCCACAGTGCTGTGGCCTGGAGCAGCCCCCCAGAACCTACCCCTTGGAGCCCTGGCTGCGCGTCCCCGGGGGCCCTGCCCGCGCAGGCAGGATGGGGCTGAGGGCGTGTTCCCCGTGGGGCTGGAGCACCGTGCTGGCTCTGGGCTGGCTGGGCCAGCTTTGGCCGCTGTGAAGCAGGGCTGGAAAGCGTGGGGGGATGGAGGGCCTGACTCTGCAGGCTGTCCCGCAGCATTCCTTGACTCTGGCAGCCGGAGAGTCTTGGGGTCCCTCTCGCCACAGGGAACAAGCCCACCCTCAAGGCCATCAGGGCCAGTACCTGTCTCCTTGAAGAGCCGCCTTGCACAGGAGGATGACCACTGTGGTGGGGTACAGGTTGGTCATCAGGCGAAGGAGTGACTCCGCTTTCTCCCACGCTGCCTGTGTGCTGCAGTATGGCAGGCTCTCAAGGATGCTGCTGACTATCTTGGGCCCCTGCAGGAAATACAGGTGAGGATGGCACTGCCCTGGGAGTGCAGCCATGTCCTTAGTTGCCCTTCCCATTCCTCTCTGCTACCTTGAGGTGGCTTGGGGGGCCCAAGTCACCTGTGCCTGGGAGGGAGGGATGCAGGGAGGAACAAGGCCCAAGAGGGCTGAAGGGCACAGGCCACTTACGTCCGTCAGCCAGACGTCCGGGTCCTCCAAGGCCACATCCAGCAGGCTGCTGGGCACCTGCTGGTCGAGGATGCTGGCATCTCCCAACGCCTCGATGGCCACGAGGATGACGTCTGTCCTCTCGTGGGACTGCAGGTATTTTCCAAAGGCCTATGGCAGCAAGGAAGGAAGACATGTCGCGCTGAGCGCCCTGATGGTGCTGCTTGGCTGAGCAGCTCGAGCGGCCCTGGCCGGACGTGCCCACCACTGCTGACAGCAGCGCCCGCAGCAAAGCTGGCAGCAGTGCCTGCAGTCCCTGCATGGCAAAGATGAGCAGAGAGGGCCCTCCTGCTGGGGGAGGAGGGCTCATAGGCACAGGCTGCTGGCCCCACCGAGAACCAGGGACTTGCTGGTGGCCAGGAGCACCGGAGCTCCTGCTGGGGCTGAAGCTGCTGCTGGGCCACTGGAATGCAGCCCTCGTGCTGTCCTTGCTCAAGGACGGCGGGAACCCCCTCCCCAGGGAGCTGAAGGCGCGCCAGCCCCACTGCTGCGGGGTCCTTTGGCTCGCACCAGTGCCCTGCTGGTGCCACGGACAGGAGTCCCAGCAAGGGCGCAGCTCCTTACCTTGGCACAGTCCCTGGGGCTCAGAGAACACAGTGCGGAGGTGGTCACGGCTTCCCGGTGGACTTGGTCTGCTCTGTCCTTTAGCCTGGATTCGACTAAACACCAGGGCAAACACACAAGAGTCAGGAAGGCAGAGCAGCTTTACCAGCAAGCTCGCCAAACCTCCCTGGCATCTGTCGGCCAGGGGGCAGGACAGGAGCAGTCCAGGATTTTGGGAGGGCATCAGGAACAGCTTCTTGCTACAGGCACTGGAGGGACCAGCCAGGGTGGGGGATCTGCTCTTCCCCACCAGGGAAGACGTGGCTTTGGGACAGGGAAGTCCAGAGGGGCTTTGGCTGTGGGGCCCACAAACCAGCGGGCTGCAAGATCCTGAAAGGAAGGGGAGGAAGGAGAGCAGCAGCAAACAGATCCTGGCCTTGAGCAAAGCGCTCAGGCCCTGCAGCAAAGTGGCAGCTGGGAAGCTCTGGGAAGCAGCTGGGAGGGGCAAAGGGGGTCAGGAAGCAGATCTCTCAGGAGATGTCGGTGTGCAGAGCAATGAAGGCCACCGCTGCTCTGCCTTTTTTACTTACAGATGAACTCAGCCAGGGCAAAAAGAGCATGGAAAGCTGCATAGCATGTCAGCTCCTCAGAGAAGCGGAAAAGGATGAGTCGTCCCAGCAGCTTTCCTAGGAGCGGGAGCTGGATCTCCCCAGAGCAGACAGGTTCAGCAGTGCCTCTTCTGACGTTGGCGTGGGCCTGGATGAGGGAGGCATGAGCAGAAGGGCTGAGGGCACAAGGGTGGTGCCAAAGCCCCCCTCTCGAGAGTCTGCCCAGGGCTGGATTCCTGGAGAGACCAGGCTTTGCAGAGCCCTGCGTCCCCGTCTCTCAGAGTAGCCATGTGGGCAGCAGCCCTGGCCTGGAGAGCAGCAGGGATGGGGGCATGGCCTGGCTGGAGGGGGCCTGATCCTTACCTGCAGAGTGGAATAGTCGGACAGCACACAGGTCAGCACATCTATCCTTGCCATGGCCCTCTCCCTCACAGCCTCTCTCTCGCATCTGGTGAAGTCCAGCAGCAGCTGGGACGAGAGAAGCAGCGGGTGAGCCCTGGGAGCAGACTCCAACACCAGCAGCAGCACAGCTCCACTGCTGGGCCGCACTCGCCCCATCCCTCAAGGCTTCCTCTCCCCTCCAGCAAAGCCTGCAATGGGGTGTCTGCCCCAGGTCAGGCACAAAGGCCCAGAGCCAACCTCATGGCCAAGGAGGAGGGCAGGTGCCACCCTCTGCAGCCCCTGTGCTCCACGAGAGCCTGGGGCCAGCCCCCGCTTCCCCGCAGGAGGTGGGCACCCTCCCAGCAGGGCACTCTGCCTGCTCGGCCCTGCTCTGGGCACCACTCAGCCAGGAGTGGGCAAACCCTCCCCTCCAGGCTGAGGAACAGCCCTGGGACTCCCCCCTTTTTGCTTGTGCCAGACCTCCAAGATGCCCTGCAGCTCCTCGCTGACTTGAGAGGCAGGAAAGCTGAGCACCATTGTCCTCAGCATGCTGTCCATGGAGTTCAGGGTCTGCAAGGAACACAGAGAGCAATGGCAGTCATTCTGCTGTTCCTCCCAGCCCCAGGAGAGCCATCCGAACCCCCCGTGCCACAGGAGGAGGAGGAGGATGCCCACACGTCCCGGGAGAGATATGGGCATAGACAATCTGCGAGGGCAGAGCAGCCTGTGGCACGGGATGCGGCCAGGCCCATGGGAAGGGGACAGAGGCGCGAGGAGGGGAAGTACCCTGCCCTGCCTGGGATCCCTGCTCCTGTGGCAACATGGGATAGCCAGGGAGCAGGCCAGAGGGGCTGGAGGCCCCTGGAGCTCAGCCAGCACTTACCTTGATGTAGAGGGCAAGGTCCGCTTTTGGCATTTCCTTCTCTGCAGGCAGCCAGAAGACACTCGAGAAACACGCGCGGAGGAGGCTTTTGGCTTTGCCCTCCAGCGCTGTGTCCACCAAGCTGCAGGGAGAGGGCAGGACACGGGTTGCACACGGGTGCTAGGAGCAGCCCCTCGACGACTCGTGCGGGTGGCATCGGACCTCTGGGCCAGGGGGCCCACGACAGATGGGCAGGTACCTCAATTTCTCCAGAGCCAGCATGGAAAGATGCCGAAGGTCTGTGCACAGCTGGTCCCTTGGCTCTTCTTCCAGCAGCGCCTGCAGAGCACAACCGGGATGGCACCTGCTGGCAACTGCCAGCACCCAGGGCCTCCAGTCCCTGACCCGCCCCAGCACTGTCCGCACAGGCTGCCTGTGCCAGGGGGCTTTGCTCCCTTCGCCACATTGCCCAGGGTGCCCTCACCTTGATGTTCTCTGCCAGCTCGTACTTGTCACAAAACAGATCCAGGCCCTGGGTCAGGCCGTGGCTCAAGGCGCTTCTGCACAGCACAGAGATGCTCCGGAGAAATGTGGTCTTGTCTCTCTCCTCCTGCCAGCCGGGGGACAGAGACACAAACACGGATTGTGAGTGGGCGGACACAGCCAGCGGGACCGCAGCACAGGGGGTGCAGTGCCCTGCGGGAGAAGCAGCCCTGCCCTGCCAGCACCCCTCCAGCAGCCCGGCAGCACAGCCCCTGCCAGCAGACAGCAGCACAGCCCCCCTCCAGTTGGCCGCAGTTACCTTGTTGGGGCTGGTGACAAAGGCCAGGACGGAATCAACAGCTTCCTGCTCCTCCTTGTAGATGGGCAACCAGCTGGCATCTAAGGGGGGAAAGAGCAGGGAGAGCTGCAGAGGGTCCAGCGAGAGGAGGGAGCAAAGGATATCTGCCCTCCACCCAGCTCTCTGCCCACTGCCTTGGCACGGCCTTCCCTTGCAGCTCCTGGCTGGAGGGTGCCTGGCAGAGGAGCTGCCATGCTCGGGAAAGCCCCAGTGCCCCGGGCTGAGGAAGGCAATGGCAGACAGGCAGGAAAGGCCCAGGCTCCCACAGCACGACAGACTCATGCCAGCCCAGCTGGCCCTCTCTGCCCACAGCCCAGAGCCTCTCTGCCCTGTCCTTCTTTGGGAGAGGCTGTGCTGGGGCCACGCTCCAGCCCTGAGCAGTCCCAGCTTTCAGGCAACATCATGGCTGACCCCAGGACCCCCACTGTCAGCTGGCCAGGAAAGTGGGATCCTGGTGTGCTACAGGGTGTGGTGGTGGGCCCCAGCCCTGCCCAGCCCCACAGGGCCCCTCACTCACCCAGCTTCAGGGGCTGCATGGCGGTCACCTCGTAGGAGGACGGAAGCTGCAGGCCTGGAGAGCGGCTCTCCTGGGAAGAGCTGTCTTCCATCCAGGCCTGCCTGGGGCAGGCGGGGGGGTCTCCTCTCCATCCTGTGAATCAAAGAACACAGGGGAGCCTGCCTGCGGAGGGCGTCCGAATGGTGGAGTCGAACACCCCCAGAAAAAATGCCGCGGCCAAATCGCCTCAGGCAAAGGGCCTCAGGCAAAAGGCCTCAGCAAAAGGCCTCAGCCAAAAAGCCAAGGCAAAGTGCCTCGGCCAAAAGGCCAAGGCAAAAGGTGCTAGGGGGGTGATTTGGGGCCCCTTTCAGTACCTAAAAGAGGCTCCAAGAGAGCTGGAGATGGATTTTGGATGAGAGTATGGAGTGACAGGACAAGAGGGAATCCCTCACCTGGCCTCTGAATATGTGCAAGAATGCCCTGGAGTCCGTAAGGAGAAGTGTGACCAACACATTGCAGGGAGTTACTATTTCCACTGTTTTTGGTTTTTGATGTACCTGCAACTTTTGTTTCTGTCGTGGGTCACCAGTGGACAAGTGCGTGGTAGACCCTGACTGGGGTCCTGCAGACAGCTTCCAGGATGGTCAGGAGTCCAGATAATGTGACTGCTTATGTACCTGAAAGAGAATTAGATCTTTGTCTTGGTGAATTCACGTGGACAAATTTGTGCAGTAAAACTGGCAAATTGTTATGCAAAAGTATAAACCCCTGGAGAGGGGCCTGCCTGAGCTGCTGTTTCAGCATCCAGCTCCAGCTCAGCCACAGCCTTGCCTGAGTTTGCCCATGGAGCTGTTGATCGAGCCCTTGACCCATGAGGTGACTTCCCAACTTGACCTCACCACCATGGATCTCATCAGCCATCACTGGGCTGTGTCTGATGCTGGTTACACCCACCAGGGCTGATCCTGACCCATAGGTTGACTTTCCAGCTTGACCACAGGTTTGCCTAGTCACTATGAATTGTGCTGGTGATCTGGAATCTCAGTTGGATCCAGCTGGGTCTGCCCTGCTTGCCCTGTGCCAGGGTGGTGGGATGGGCTCGGAAATTTGGTGATGTTGGAGAACCATGAGTGTAGGGAAAGAATAGTGAGTTGGAAATAAGAGGAGAATTCTTTCTTTTCCTTGCTAAGAGAGTGGGATTTAAATGGAAATTTTTGTAATGGTCTAGAATTAGTTTTGTATTTAAAAGATTCAGTCATTTTGTGTCATCTGGAGAACAAAAAAGGATATTGCTGCCTCCTTATTCGCAGATCATTTATGACCAAAAGTGCAATATGTGATGAATTGAAAGTAGGTGCTTTAGAAATGTTATATCTACCATATCCATCTGCCAAAACTGAGCCTCTGTCAGATCAGTTCTCCCACTGACTTCAGTAACAGCATCATACATTTCCCTCAGCCCCCAACAGAATCAGGTCTTGATAAATTGTTATGTGGAGGACGTGTAACTCTCCACATTTGTGGAGAGGATTAGTGCTTGTCTTATAAGATTTTTAACTGAGTCTTTCCTTGAGCAGGTTATGAGATTTACTGCTGAGAAAGCCACAGAGAAGTAAGAGTTGTCTTTGTAAATGATTGCCACTGTTACAGCTCCACTGAGCAGGCTGTATATTCATAATAATTGTGTTACTCTGTACGTTAAACAATGTCCGGCAGCTACAGGCAGAACAGTAGGCCATGTTCACTATAACTAAATTCCTCCCTACATTTACATTGATTGACATTCCCTTCCTGAAGCCCAGAAAAATCAAACCACTCTATGGGCCATTCACTTTAGAGTTGGACTCGATGATCCTTGTGGGCCCTTTCCAACTCAGAATATTCTGTGATTCTGTGATTGTACAGGCACACTTAGGAGTACAACTTTCCTCCTATTCACAAGCACTCCAGGAAGGGACTACAAATGATTAAAGGAAAGCTGGAGAACTGCACTCCACATTGTTCTCTTCCCAAACCCAGCTTGAAACTTTGATTATCAACAGCAACAGTCCAAATATTCCTGCAATTTCAGAGTAGGTCCCTGTGGGGCTGCACTCCCCAACTGAGGCACCATGAACTACATATGCCATTCCCCTGGTTTGGGTTTTTTAAGGAGGAGGACCTCACTGGAGAGCATGCAGCAATATTTGTCTTTCTGACGCAACCCCTGTCTCCAGTCCCTTCCCCTCACCTCAGAAGGAGTAGAGCTCTAGTAATGAATCACCTTCATGCCTTGTTTTCCGGTCTGGGATAGGCTCTTGATTGTATTATTTTCTAAGGGAGGAGAGGTTATTTTTGGCTAGAAAATGGAAATGTCAAGGGTTAAAAAGCAACAGTGGTGTTAAAAAGAGTAAGAAGAATGTAAGAGACAGCATGTCTTTCACTAGGGTAATTTATATGACAGGAAAATAAAAGCGGACAAGCTTTTCAGGCACAACAGCTCTTCTGCATGCGAGAAACAAAATTTTTTCCAACCATACCAGCTGATCTTCAAAAAGAAAACTGATCTATGATGAACTCTGACTCTTGAATTTGTCTGGTCACAAGCTATTGTGCAAAGCTGCACAGCCCACCTGGTTTCTGTCACAGCTGGACTGCTGCTTGCCACCTTATGGGCTGCATGTCAGGAGAGGAGAGACCAGCTGGGAGAAACCGGCGGAGACTGAGAGGGAAGCAGAGAAACAGCCAGACAGATACATCCAGGGCTCTGTGTGGAGTGGGACAAGGCTCTGCCGAGGGGATCAGGGGGCTGGGCTGGCAGAAAGCAGCTTCCGTGGGCACTTGGGAGGGATGGTGTGGAGGGTTTGGCAACCCTGTGAGTGAGCAAAGTTCAGTGACACAAGAGTAAGAAGGGGCAAAAGGCCTCTCTGTCGCTCCTGAGGGTAGGGTGGGAAGGAGGGGCTTGCTTTACTAACTGTGGCGTCTGAATCTGCCTCGGTCTTTGCTGCTCTAATTCAAAAGCAATCGAGATGTAGCGTGCCTTAGAAATAAAAAGGTCTTTCAGTGTTTGGTGTGCTTACTGCAAAGAAAAGGTCGAGGCTGTTCACTTTAAAGCTTTACCAACTATCCCGGACCACTTCGTATAACCACCCTGCTCCAGGGACAGAGACTGCCGGCAGTGTCCCCAGCAATACTGCCTTCTCCCATGAGAGGGAGGCCAAGCACCTTTAATACCCCTGAGTAGAACTTGAGCTACTTGTTCCTCAATATTACGCCAAACATTCCCCTCCTTATGCCTCTCTGGATCTGCTACTTACCCCACAGTAGTCTAAGCTTATCTCCAGCAACTCCGCCTGTAAAGGCTGCAGGGGTGGACCCAGCAGCCAAGCTGTGATATCCAGACCCAGGCCATTTCCCAAGATCCTGTACCACAGATGTTACTGAAACACTGCCATGGTCATCTATCCTAGTGACCCATTCCATAAGGGCCCTCATCCTTGTGCCACAAATGATAGATTGGTTTAGATTAGCTCAAAACTGCTGAAAAGACTCTGGGTGAGCAGGTGAAGGGTTTGGGAGCTTTGGTGTGTTCCTGACCCCCAAACCCAGACTACAATTCCAATATGGACATCTGGGAATAAATACATGGTCATAGGTGATAGTGTCAAAAGAGCTCTGGATTTAGTTGCCCTAACTGGTGGGTCAGGTGCCAGGAGCAGGAATGGGTGGAGCCCACCTTACTGAGGAAGGGAGCAGCCCCATGTTTCCTGATTGACCATCTTCAGGGGACATGTCTGAAGTGTTCAATAGATTGACCTTCTTCTTGTCCTTATTAAAATCCCATATTAACAACCTTCTTACTACCTCATTAGTTTTATAGACTTCACCTAAACTCATGGTTTATGATGGGTTATGCTTTGCCAGCTTCTTTCTTTAGTCCTAATTTAAAGTCCTTCTCAATTCCCAGAAAAGTTCTGGTACAACTCATTATACAGGGCACTTTTATGCACCTAGAACGCAAGGGGATGGACACCAGCCTTCGTGAACTCATCAGGAAGAAATGCTGACAAACCATTCTCATGTTCTGATGTGGCAAAATTTTTTAGGCATAAAGTGAAACATAATGACTTTAGGAGGGCTTTTAACACTGGCTGTTCTGATCCCTTCTTGAGAAGATATAAGGGCACAGTGAGTGCAAAACTGGTGAGATCATTGTACCTCAAATGGTATTTATCAGTGTTTGTCAAAGTGGAAGGACATAGTGAAGGGATTTTTGCAGGGGTCCATTCTGATGCCATGTCTTTTTAGTTACTTCAGTTAACAACCTGGATGATTAATCCATGAGTGCTTTATTCAACATGCTAATTACTTCAGGCTGTGGAGGACAGCAAAGACAACAGGATTCAGCACTAGATGGAGAAACAGGCTACAACCTACAGGGTGACATTCAACAGGTACAACTTCAATCATTACTTTTATGAGCAGGTTCAAGTGAGGGAACTGGGTGGATGCAGTTTTCCAAACAAACAAACAAACAAACAAAAGAGTCCAAGGTGTAAGAGAGGGCAAACTGAACACCAGCAATGGAAAAAAAGGCAAAGACCACCTGGAGCATGTGAGCTGTAGCCTCCAAGGCAAGCTGGAGTAATATGCCTAGCTAGGGATGCTGTACTTCAAAAAATGCAGATGGACAGAAAAAAAAACATCAAAAGAGGTGAGTGAAGATGCTGGGAGGCAGAGAAAATGTGAAGAAAGACTGAAAGAAATAAGTAGATGTAGTGTGTAGGAGAGAAAGCAGAGGCAAGGAGGTGAAGGGAAACATTGCAGTTCATTGCAGTTCATTGCACATCATCAAATGCCTAAGGGATGACTTTGAAGAAGGCCATGGCCACAGCACACAGGGCAGGATATACAGTATTTCAGATCAAACAAAAACCCCTGAAGTTAGACTTTCAGATAATGTTAGGACAGAAGTGTGCCAGAACAGATTGTTGGGGAATGGCACAATCTCCATCACTGGAAGTTTTTAAGGAAAGGTTTCACAAACATATCAGAACAGGTATTGTTGATCCTCCCAGATCCTCCAGGTATTACAGTGGGGGGAAAGTATGATTTTGTAAGCAATCCACATGCAGGTGTCGCAAAGAAGAGGTGGAAGCCAGCTGTCAGCTTGTGCCTGTGTTTGCCAGCAGGCACTGGGTTTCTGTATCGCAGCCCACAAGAAGCCAACCTTGGACATGCACTCAGGGTTAACACAGAAGAGAAGGCTTAAGCAACGTATGGAAGAGAAGGAAAAGATTTGAAAACTGGGGGGGGGAGGTGTCTTTTGTGTCAGCACCTGGACTGCACCCCCCTCCCCAGAGGTTTAAATCTCAGCATGTAAGGCCAGGTTGCTGATAAGAACAAGCAGATTAATCAGCATCAGGTGGCTTTGGAGCACTTGGAAAAAAAGAAATAGAAGAAGCCTGAGGGGGCAGGGCTTGTATGCATATATAGAAACCACTCTTCACTCTTTTCCCTGGGAGCTGTTTTTAGTCAAAGCTTTTACTTTGGTTCCCACATAGGCTGTGTTACAGTTGTGTTGCTGCTCTGTATTGCCCTATCCTGGGGCTGTGAGCCAGATCTGACCTGGGGACTTAACTTCAGCCCTGCCACACTGCAGTAGACTTGTTTGGAGTCCAGACTGAGCCTGGTCACTGCTGCCATGGGACTACCCTGATCCCCTGGCTCAGGTCTGGCCTCTGGCTGTGGAGACCACTGCCCATCCACCAAATTATGCTCCTCTCCTGTGTCCCTTCCCATGCAGAGCAGCCACCCATGGTGCTCCCCAGTGTTGTGTAGGTGAAGGTGTAGGGTTGGGATCCCGCTTTGTGCCAGGCAGGGAGATGTCCCGTAGAGGAATGTGGAGGAGGGCATAAGGGCATATCTTCACCTGGACGTGTGTGCTGTGTGCCGTGGGATCTGTGGTCTTTGTTACAGGCTCTGCCAGGTGGCGGCACTGATGATTACCACCTGTGGTGCCCACACAAAACCACAGTCAGGAAGGGCTGTTCCTGTGGGAAGCTCTGGATATAAGTGTATCCTGTTCCTCTCCAACCAAAGCAGTGGAGGGGACAGACTGGAAGCAGCTTTGGAAGAGTTAGCAATGTCCCTTGAGAGGGCAGAGGCTGGGGTGGAACAGTGTAGGGCCGCAGCCTAAGTTCAAACCCAGATCTTGGCCTGTGTGAGCAGGGTGATGGTGTTCCCCAAAAGAAAAGGAAAGCTGCATCCCTGACAGGGAGGGAGGTGATTTTGCTGGACTAGCAGGAGCTGGCAGCAGAAACAGGGAGATGGTCAGGGCCAGCTCTGACCTCCTCTGCTTCCTGACAAAGGTGAGCTTAGCAGAAAGTGAGCTGGGTTTGGGCAGAAGGCTGAGCTCCTCCTGTGCCCCAGAGACTACTCCAGCCTGTCTCCCTGCCCCCACACACGGCTGAGCAGGGAAACTAGAAGAGTCTAGCATGGGAGAAGATGTTTTCCCAAGTTCAAAGAATATGAGGAAATAAAAATCTTGGTGAGATAAATCAATATGAGCTGCGCTGGGGGAGGAAGAAGGAAAAACGAAGGCTGGGGGAGGGGCAGCTCCTCCTCCCCCATCGCACTAGCACAAAGGGTGATGGTTGGCAGCTCCTGGAGGCACTTCCAGTGTGTGTTCAAGGCTTGAGGAGTTTCCTGTATTATCACCTCCATGGTGGCCTGGGCAGTGGAGGAGCAGGGAAAAAGGCCTCACGCTTCTGTCCAACACTTGGACATCCATCTCTTTCCTCAGCAGATCTCCATTCATAAAGGGGGTCAGCATCATTTTTGTTACAAAAAGGAAGACACAGGGACTCCTGTAGGTGAAGGGACTCGCCCATGTCATGCAGAGAGCTGGAGGGAGCCCACGGCTCTGGGGAAACCATTCCACTGCTCTAATTCCCAGCATGTGCTGTCCCCACGACTAGGACAGTACGTTTACTGGAGTTAAGAGGACGGGTCAGAAACCATGTGGTGGAATGAACAGCAGCGGCCAAAGGCGGAGAGAAAAGAAGGGGGAGGCTGATGGTGGCAGGAAGGGGGATGATGCCCGGAGTGTCATGGAAAGCACGGGAGGGAGTCGTGCCTTGCGGTCTCGGGGGAGTCAGGAGAAGTTTGCAAGTGGGAGAATCCCCAACCCTGGAGAGAAGATGAGAAATACGATAGAGCTGCTCGGGCCGACCGCTGGCCCCCCAGGGGCCTGTCCGGGGCCGGGGGCCAGAAGCGCAGATGTCCGGGCACCCCCGGCCCAGGGGCTGCGGGCCCGGCGG